CATATCCTCCCTCGGGCCCTTCTCCCCTTCTCCCTCCCCCTTCCCCCTCCTCCACCTCCTCCTCCCCCCTCCCGCCTGATCCTTCTCCGCTTCTCGCGCGGGCGGAGGAGGAGGAGGAGGAGGAGGAGGAGAAGGAGGAGAGGCAGGATGAGCACCAGGAGCAGGAGGAGGACGACGACGACGACCGACGACGACCGACGACGACCGACGACCGACGACCGACGACCGACGACGACGACGACGACAAAGACGACAAAGACGACAAAGACGACGGACGACGGACGACGTCGACGGGCGACGGGCGACGGCGACGGCGACGGCGGCGGCGACGGCGACGGTGACGGCGACGGCGACGGCGACGGCGGAGACGGCGACGGCGACGGCGACGGCGATGGCGACGGCGACGACGACGACGACGACGACGACGACGACACGGACGGACGAACGGACGGACGGACGACGACGACGATGGCGACGACCCCCAGACCCACTCTCGGGTGCGCTCTGGACAGAAGTCCGAGGAGGATCTGGTCGTGGCGACGAGGGCGTCCCAGGGCACCCAGAAAGACGAAAACGAAAAACTCACAAATACCTCCGACCTCGATCGTGGAGCCCCGACGACGACCGATGGCAGCGACGACGACGACGCCGACAACGACGACGACGACGACGACGACGACCGCGACGACGACGACGCCGACGACGACGACCACAATGACGACCACGACGACGACCGCGACGACGACGACGACCACGACGACGGCGACGGCGACGGCGACGGCGACGACGGCGACGGCGTCGACGACAACGCCGACGACGACGACGACGACGCCGACGGCGACGACGACGGCGACGGCGATGGCTTCGAAGGAGGCCGAGGGGTCAGCCGCCGGCGCGCTGCAGCTGCCCTACCGGGCGCTGTGCCGGCCAGGCCGGGGCGCCCCCCCTCGCTGATGCTCAGGACGTCTGCTAGCCTTCAGATGTCCTTCAAAGCCGGAGTAATCGGGGGAACACAAATGGGGGGACTGGGTTAGGCGCAATAGTTCATGCAATAGTTGGCGCTTGGATGCAATAGTTTGCGGCGTGGATGCAATAGTTCCGCGCGGGGGTTGCTTCGTCTTGTTTCGTGCGCAATAGTTCAGGCGGTTTGCAATAGTTCGTGCCCCCTCGCAAAAGTTCGCGCGCAATAGTTCAGGAAAGCGAACTATTGCACCTACTGCCGTCCCCCCTTTTGTGTTCCCCCCATTGCTCCAGCGTCAAGTCTGAACGTCCCTGTACAGGAGAAATATTCAAAATGAGGCCAAAAATAGTCTGGAGACGATTGCTCGACTATTTTTGATCATTTGGGGGGGAGTTTGGGAATACATTTTTCTTGTCATCCAAAATCAGCCTGTAGGAGGACACGCCCGACCTAGTGATAGCCCAATGTGCGTTCGCGCCCAGCAAGGACGCGCGCCTTCATCCAGGGTGCCCTCGTGTCCTTGCCTCTGCGGCCCGGCCCGCCCTCTGCCATTTTCACGGGTCGCGCCCGCCGCCCCCCCCCCAAAAAAAAATCCCAATTTCGGCTTCAAGGGCTTCGAGTCCTCACCACCCATCCTGAATGCACGTTTGATTGTACCCCGTTCAGTTCCGCCGATACGGTGGGGACCTTGGTTATTGAATGTGCTCAGGCGGCTGCAGACCCTGGGGGGGGTCCTTATTTGATTAGGGCGGCAGTGATACCCATGGCCAGTCCACGATTAGGGTTCCACTGGCTTCCAGACCCTGGATTCCTTATCCAACGCTTCCGTCTTCAATGCCCCCACCGTAGCACGCAGCCATTGTTGGCCCTCATTATTGTTCGCCGCTCGCGTCGCTGAGCAAACACGTTGGCGCTGACTCACGTTCTGCGGACCATCGACCCCCGATCGACCGAACGGAAGGACGGCGTGGAGGAAACCCTGGTTTGTTCACGCCGTTGTCGTCGGCGTCGTCGTCGTCACGACGTCAGGTTTTTGGCACCTTTCGGCCTCCAGGGGCCCTCGCCGGGCACCCAGGACGTCAGAGAACGATTTTGGGATGCAGAACCGACCCTAGGGAAAGGGGTCTTGGACTTGCAGAGACCCCATGTTGAGCAAGTCCAGACCTCAGATCTCTGGGAGGGGTGCTGAGGGAAAAACGGGTCCTACAGGTTGTCCGTTTTTTTGCACATGGGGGGCCGTTCACAGGCCCCGGGGCGTCAAATCCGCGACCCGGGATGGAGACCTGGTCCTGGGGGAAAGCCCTGGGATCCAGGACCCGCTTCTGTCAGGGCCTTCAGGCAAGAGTCATCGAGGGAGTCCGAGCTAACGTCATCCTTCACAACTAATGTGAAAGTGTAGATTGCTTGCGAAACATCATTGGAATCAAAATCCCATGAAACTTGGTTGAGAATTGCAAAACTTGTATTATTTGGATGCACGAAAAAATCCAGGTGCCTGGTGCGAGAAGGAGTAACCAGAGCATGGAACAACTGTATGTTCAGATGTCGGGAATCGAGGTGTTCGGGGAGCTGCTCGTCCTTCCTGTGCATCCTCGCCCCCTCGGAGGGGGAGGGAAGGGAGAGGATCAGGGTCCACAGCACGGTCTCCCGTGTGGTCTTCCGCATGGCATCTTGTACCTGTATACGGTTTCCAGAAAGGGTCTCCGGTGCGATCTCCCGCATGGTCTCCCGGCTGGCCTCGTGCACGGTTGCCCGTACGGTATCACGCATGGTTCTCCCAGAATGGTCTCCCGCATGGCCTCCCGTATGACTTACCGTGTCGTCTCCCGGCTGGTCTGTTGTCTGGTCTGCGGTCGGGTCTCCCTCTCTCCCCCTCTCTCCCTCTCCCTCTCTGTCTCTTTGTGTTTGCGCATACGCTCTACAGGTGATCGTTTGTTAGTCGTTGTTTTGCCGATCGGCGCGGGCCCTCGCACCCGCCCCCCGTCCCCCCCTGGAGTAGACTTGACTGTTTGGGGCGACTGTTTCGAACAGGTGGAGCCTCCCCCACAATGGACGCACTGCTGCTGCAAACAGACGCACTAAGCAGAGGTCCAGAGCCAGACCCCTCCCCCTCCCCCCCCCTTCCGCCCAATGTCGGAACGCCGTATAAAACACGCTCACCAGGTGCTCATTATACTGCTATACTCGATGTTCCTGAATCGGTTTTCTCTCTACGATGATCTCTTCAGTACTCTACGGCTGCTTCGGGCATGCTGCCGCCGAGGGTGCAGTGTAGGCCGGAGGTCTGGGGCTAGGGTCGGATTCCAGGGCGCGGTTCAGGGTGCAAGGGGCTCGGGTTAAGTCGGGCATGTCCCTCTCTACAGGACGAATCTTCAGAAATAGTCAGAAGATAGTCTGCGGACGATGTTCCTAAGTTTTTGTTTTATCATTTGGGGACATATTCCTGCTATATGTTATTTGTCTTCCAAAATCCGCCTGCATGGGGACGTGCCCGACCGGGGGCTCGGGCATCAGGGCCAGGGCCCAGGGAACTCTTGAAGTCAGCGGGCGCAAGCGAGTCGAAACTGGCGCAGGCGCTGGTCGGGCCACGGGCGGGACGCGCCGGGAGCCAGGTGAGGCACAGGAAAAGCAGAGGAGGGCGCGGGGAAGGCGAACACGGGCGGATGCCATTCAGACCGTGAAGAGGCTCAGGGATCGGCTACGCGAAAGAGTGGCCTTTCGCCGGAGTGACCCTTGGTGCGGGCTTACAGGTGTGGCCCCAGCATTGGCCCGCGCGCTTGTCCCCACACAACCGCGCACCAAGGGTCACTCTTGCCTAGGGTCACTCCTGCGTGGAGTCAAAGGGAACAAAGGGAGAGAAGGAGGAAGCTCAACTCCCGGCCCGAAAGTGGGGGGAGGGGTCCGGCCTCTGGCCCGAGAGGAGGCAGGGGAGGATCCCCGACGACGGATCGGAAGGGGAGGACGAGCCCCCCGCGTGTTGAGGAAAACGGCGGCGCGCTTTCGATGTCAGTACATTTCACACTGGCCTGGGTCACCAGCGGCGGAAGCGGAAGCCCCCCGGTCTCATTTTCTTGTCTTCACGTGTCGTCAGGCCCCGATGGCATCATCATCATCATCATCATCATCATCATCATCATCATCATCATCATCATCATCATCATCATCATCATCACCATCACCATCATCAGCATCAGCATCAGCATCAGCATCATCATCATCATCATCATCATCATCATCATCATCATCATCATCACCATCACCATCACCATCACCATCAGCATCAGCATCAGCATCATCACCACCAACATCATCTGTCACACACCTGGACGCGTCCGTAGGCTTGGCCAGGCGATGCGCCTAAAATCCTTCACCATTTACGACCTTGTTCAGCCTGAAGCTTGAAGTTTGTACCAGTTTCAAGTATGCAGGGCGGGCCGAGTTCAAAATGTGGCTCTCGCCTTTGCGCCACGCTTTTTTGATCTTGAAAACTTACAACAGTTTCAAAAATGCAGGGCGGGCCTTGTTCAAAAGAAGATCTCACTTTAGCAACGCGCACATCTGTCTTACAAGCCTGCAACAGCTTGAAGGATGGAGGGCGGTACCTTTTCGAAATCTGGTTCCCGCCTTAGCACCGTGCACAGTCGTTTCCAAAGGTTGCAGCAAGTTGAAGGATTCGTAGCGTCGACATCCCAGGAACGGCGTTAAGGCGCATGGATTCGCGGTGTCGAAGTCCCAGGATTTCTCTTCTGGAGCGGTTTAGGATTGTCAGGACGCAACAAATTCGCTGATTCGCGGCATTGAAGTCCCAGGAGTATGTTGTCGCACGGTCAGGACTCAAAACAAACAGAAGTCGATATGTGTTCGAATATTAGCACAGTTCTAGTGTGAAAGTGTTATGTTGATTGCGAGTTTCTGGTCCTGGCGAGGTCTTTCGCTTTTCGGGGTCAATTCTTGCAGGGACCTATGAAGATGACATTCGGAGGGAGCGGCGATTGCAGCATCGCTGATGACTCTTGGGTCAACCCTCCTCTGTGGCCGTAGCCGTCGCCGTTCGGGCTCGAGGCTCAGAGCCCAGGAGGGCCCCCCTGGCCTCTGGTGCTGCGGGGGGGGGAGCATGTGGGACGCCCTCGGCCCTCCGCGCCTCCCCGAGACCCGGGCCTCCGCCTGGCCGAGCCAGCCGGCATGCGTGCTGCAGAGCTCGAGGAGGAGGAGATCGAACGGGCCCTGGCGCTGGAGGCGCACTCCGCGGAGCCGGGCGACGCCGACTCCTGGGACGAGGAGGACCTCGCGCTCGCCAGCGCCGCGGCCGACCTCTTCGAGGCCCAGGGGAGAGCGCTGGCCTCTTCGGCGGCGCCCCCGGCGGCCGCACCGGTGCCCAGCGACCCGGGCGGCTTCGAGCCCGCGGCGGCGCCCCCAGCAGCCACGCCGCTGCCCAGCGGCCTGGGCGGCTTCGTGCCCCCCGCGGCCGCGCCGCTGCCCAGCGGCCTGGGCGGCTTCGTGCCTCCGGCGGCGCCCCCGGCGGCGCCCCCAGCGGCCGCGCCGCTGCCAAGCGACCCGGGCGGCTTCGTGCCCCCAGCGGCGCCCCCGGAAGCTGCGCCGCTGCCCAGAGGCCCGCTGGACGTTTTCGTGCCCCCAGAGCCACGCCCAGAGCCAGCGCCAGGAGTCCTGGGCTCCGCTTGCCACCGCGGGGTGCCTCAGGCAGCGGCCGCCACAGCGGCGGCACAGGACGAGCGAGCGGATAGCTCGGCGGCGGAGCAGGGCGCTGGAGCGACCATGAGCAGGCCGCGGACACCCGTGGAGGTGTTCGGGCGCCGTTTGGATGAGCTCTGCGGCGGGGCCGGCCCTCCAGGCGCCTCTGGCACCCAGCCTCGGGGGCCGTCGTGCCGAGTTGAGGCCTCGAAGGCTTGCCATCGCAGCGACATCCAAGATGTGCAGGTGGAATTCCCCTTTGCCGCGGGCCCTCTGGCGCCTCAGAGGCAGGTCATGGAGCAGGTGGTGCGGGCCCTGGAGTCCCGCCACCACGCCGTCATGGAGAGCCCCACGGGCACCGGCAAGACCGCAGCGGTGCTCTGCGCGGCGCTCGCGTGGCAGCGCAGGCTGCGGCAGAAGACAGGCGAGGCCCCCCAGATTTTGTTCCTGTCGCGCACGCACGCCCAGCTCAAGCAGGCGCTGGCGGAGCTCCGTCGCACGCCGTACCGCCCCACCGTGGCGGCCATCGGCTCCCGCGAGAGCGGGCTGTGCGCCAACCCCGCCGTGGAGGGCCTGGCGCGGACGGGTGGACAGCTCGGCGTCAGGCAGGGCTGCCGCCAAGCTCGGCGGCGTGGCGAGTGTGCGCTGCACGCGGGCCTCGGCACGCCCGGCCTCGCGGGGGAGGCCGCGGAGCGCCTGCGCGGGGGAGAGCCGTGGGACATCGAGGACATCGCTGCCTTCGGGCGCGAGGCCTGCGCTTGCCCCTACTACCTGGCGCACTCCCTGGCGCGGCACGCGGAGCTCGTCTTCTCGCCCTACAGCTACGTGCTGGACCCGTCCATCCGCCGGGCTGCAGGCGTCAGCGCGCTGGACCTCCGGGGGCGCGTGGTGATCATCGACGAGGCCCACAACGTCGAGGGCGTGTGTCGGGACTCTGGGTCCATGGAGATCACCGCGGATCTCCTGCGCGGCGTGCTCTTTGCCCTGCGGCGCGCGCTCGGGGAGGGTGCGCCGGGCACCGGAGCTTCGCTGCGGCCGCCGCAGGCCGCAGCGGAGCCAGCCCCGCAGCCCGCGCGAGGGCGCAGAGTGGGCACGCTGCGGGGCCGCGGCCGCGGCCCCTCCGCTGCCGCGGAGAGCGCGGAGGAGCTGGGTGGCTTTTTGACGCCAGGGCAGCCGGGTGCGTCGGCTCCAGCAGCGAGCCAGAGCGGCTCGAGCCCCTCGCGTCATTGGCAAGGGCGGCGGATGGTGTCGCAGAGGTTGGCACGGTCTGCGCGCAGTCTCGTGGCCCTGTTCTCCCGGCTGAGCGACGTCATTTCGGAGGTGCCGGGGGCGGCAAAGACGGGGGTGATGACTAGGGGGGGGGGATACCATCGCGGGGGCCATGATATCTCCCCAGATTGCATGGCGCCTCTTCTTATTTCACTACCTCCCCGCCGCCCCCCCCCCCCTTGGGCCCCGCACATGCCGCTGGCCATGATTTGCGGCCCCCCCCCCTCTTGCACGCCGCCCTCTTCCTTGGCCGCCCCCGGAGGTGCGCGAGCCGACGACCTTCGCCCCGCACCTGCCGGAGGCGCGGCGGGTGCCCGCGCTGCTGCGCCAGCTGGGGCTGGAGCGGGAGCCCCTCCTGGAGGCGGAGCCGGGCGGCGCCCGCGGCGGGCCGGGCCGCGGCGCGGGCGCGGCCCCGACGCGCGCGGAGGCGCTGCTGCAGGAGGTGCTAGCCGGGGACGTGGAAGGTCCCGCGGGAATGCTCAGCATCTAGGGTTAAGTCGGGACTGTCCCTCTCTACAGGGGGAATATTCACAAATAGTCAACAAATAGTCTGGCGACTATTCTTTGACCATTTGTGGACATGTTTGGAATATTGTTGGAGTATTTCATTTTTCGTCCAAAATCCCCCTGTAGGGGGACAGGCCCGACTGAAATCTAGGGGAACAGAAAGTGGCATGAGCAGGAAAGCTCGGAGGTTCGCGCGGATTGCTCGGGTCGGCGCTGGGCCCCCCCTCCCTGGCGCGCGGAGCGCGCCAGGGGCGGCGCCGGAGGCGCCGCCGGGGGGCCCCAGCGCCGATCCGAGCAATCCGCGCGGACCTCCGAGTTTTTATGTTTATGTCATTCCCTGTTTCCCTAGTATCGTTTCACCGATCCGTCTCCCCATCCTGCTCCCTATCCCGACCCCCATCATCTTACCACCCCAGTTGGGGACATGCCTCCCGAACAATGACACAGACGCAATAACTCGGAGGTCGGCGCGGATCCCTCGGATCGGCGCTGGGGCCCCCCGGCGCCGCCCCTGGCGCGCTCCGCGCGCTAGGGAGGATCCGCGCAGACCTCCGTTTAGGTTTATGTCATGTTTTGCTCCCCTATAGAAGGCCCCACGGGAATGCTCGACTTGGCTGGGGGGGTGCTTGCCCAGTTGGCGGCGGCGCAGAGGGCACCGGAGCTCTACGCCGCACACTTCGACCCAGTGGAGCGGCGGGCACTGATGCTGTGGCTGAACGCCGCGGAGGGCACCCTGGCGCCCCTCGCTGAGGCAGCGCACAGCCTGCTGCTGATGTCTGGCACGCTGTCGCCCATGGCCGCCACCGTGGCCGAGTTGGGGCCCACGGCCGCCAGGCGCATGCTCCCGCCGCTTCAGGCTGGGCACGTGATCGGGCGGGGCGCGCTGAGGTTGCTGGCCGTCGGGCACCATGGGACCACCAAGCTGGAGGGGACCTTCCACGCGTGGAGGCGCGACCAGTTCCTTGGCGCCCTGGGCGGAGCGATCGTCGACATCCTCCGGGTCGTCCCGGGCGGGGTGCTGGTCTTTCTGCCGAACTACGACTACCTCGACCGGTGCCTCCAGTCGTGGCAGGGCGCGCTCCAGAAGAAGAAGAGGCGCGGCGCGGTGGAGTACGTCAGGGGCACGGACTCCGCGGGAGTCTGGCAGCGGCTGTGCGATCCGAAGGGGAAAGGGCAGCAGATGCCGAGCTCCTTAGTGAGCGTCGGGGGGGGCGTCACCCCCGCCGACAGCCCCACATCGACCCCCGTCGCGGGCAGCCACCGCGCGCCGAGGGCGCTCCGACCCCCGTCGCGGCGCGACGACGAGGCGAGGCTGACCCCCGTCGGGGGGGATGTCCCCCCCCACGCCTAGCAAGAATCCCAGGGCAACCTGGCCGAGATCCGCGCGGATCTTCTGGATCGGCGCTGGCCCCCCCTTCTCCGTGGCGCGCGCCGCGCTCCCTGGGCGGCGTCGCCAGGGGGTCCAGCGCCGATCGAAGAAATCCGCGCCGAGCGCCAAGTCGGGCCTGTCCCTCTACAGGAGGAGCATTCGAAAATAGTCAAAAAATAGTCTGGGGACGATGTTCCACCAGTCTTTTCATTGTCTTTTGGAAATGTTTGGACTAATCTTTGATTTTCGTCCAAAACCCGCCTGTAGGAGGACATGCCCGACCTAAGCCGAGCTCCGAAAGTTCACGGAAGTTTCGCATCGTGGCGACCAGCGGCGAGCCCGCCGCCAGCGTTCAACATTGAACGCCGCCGGCGACCCAGAATCGGTCAATGTTCGAGGCTCAAGAGACGGGGGTCAATGCAAACGCGGGTCAGCCAGAGCGCTGGATCTTGCAGGATCCTGCAGGGCCAGGGTCGCATTGACCAGGGCTTGGGTGCAGGATCCTGCAGGATCTTGCAGAATCCTTCGCATTGACCCGGGCTTGGGTGCAGGATCTTGCAGGAGTCTGCAAGGCCTGACCGACCCGGGCCTGGACAGACCGGGGTCACAAGATCCCCGAGGTGCTGAACGATTTGACGTTCCGAACACGGCCGCTCGGTATAGGTGGGACGAGCCCTGCGGTGTCGGGAACCGACGCCAGCGCCGGCACGAAGCACGAGCCCGCCGTACATAGGCTCCGGTGCCGCGTTTTTTCTCCTTCCTGGCGATGCGAAGGGCGCCGTGGTGGTGGAGCCGCCGCCACGCACCCGCGAGGGCGAGCAGACCGCCCTCCACGGCGCGCACGCGGCGGAGGCTTGAGTCGGGCGCGTCCCTCTACAGGAGGAACATTCAAAAATAGTTGTTTGAATAGTCTGGGGACGATTTTTCTATCATGTTTTACTATCTGGGGTATTGTTTGTCAAGTTTCCGAGCATTTTCTTTGGGTGGAGGGCAAAGGGTGAAATCTGGAATGTCGTTTCGATTGATTTTCGAGGCTTGAATCTGCAAGAGGTGAATCGCACGACCGATTGATTCTCGAGGGGCGAAAGACCGTATGATTTTCACCCTGAGCCCTCCACCCTAAGAACATGCTCAGGAGAGGCTCGAGGCTGGTCAGAGAGGGTCGGGTTCTGATAGTAAGTTGCGGCAGTTTCCGCTCGTCTTGCATTGAGTGTACATCGGCGACGGGCGCCCAGATGTTCGATGTTTCGCCCAAAATCCGCCTGTAGGGGGGCACGCCCGACCTGAGCAGAGGCCTATGTCGAGGCCAAGCGGGCCTACGAGGACGCCGTGCGGCGGCACGGGCAGGCCGTGCTGCTCGCCGTATACCGCGGGCGCATGAGCGAGGGCGTCTCCTTCGACGACGACGCAACTGCTCGCGCCACACCGCCTCCTCCTCCTCCTCCTCCTCCCCCTCCTCCTCCTCCTCCTGCTTCTCCTCCTCCTCCTCCTCCTCCTTCTTTTCCTCTTCCTCCTCCTCCTCCTCCTCCTCCTCCTCCTCCTCCTCCTCCTCCTCCCTCGTCTCCGCCTCCGCCTCAGCCTCCGCCGCCGCCTCATCTCCTCCTCCTCCTCCTCCTCCTCGCTCCTCCTCCTCCTCCTCCTCCTCCTCCTCCTACCTCCTCCTCCTCCTCCTCCTCTCCTCCTCCTCCTCCACAATTACTCAATATGAATACTACTCTCCTCCTTCCCCTGATGACGGGTTGGGAGTGTTCGCCCCCCCCCGCGTATTGTTTTTTTACACGCAGGATTCCCCAGAGTCGGGTTTTCGCTTGCATTTGTTTTCGAAATGCTGCTCTCGCTGAGGCGCCGGCCTCATTTTCGGGCCCCGCTCGTTCCGAATCGTGCTCCCGCTGCAGCGTTGGCGTCATTTCCGTGCTTCCGCTCGTTCCGAATCGTGCTCCCGCTGCAGCGCTGGCCTCATTTCCGCGCTTCCGCTCGTTCCGAATCGTGTTCCCGCTGCAGCGCTGGCGTCATTTCCCGTGCCATGCCACGGCATGCAATGCAATGTTAGGTTGCGTTCCGTTGCGCGATGCCATGCCTTCAGCTGAAGCTGTGATATGCAGTGCTTAAGTGCCACGTCGTGCTATGCCATGCTACGCTTTGATCTTCAACGCCATGCTATGCAATGTTATGTTCGGGGCCGCTGTGCGATGCCATGCTTTGCGTTGCAAAGCTTTGTGATGCAATTCTTCACTACGCCACGCCACGCCATGCTGTGACATACTACGCTTTGCGGTGCTCTTCTACGCCATGCCATGCCGTGCTCTACAATGCATCGCGTACCCTTTCGGGAACATTGCCCTGCTCGACATCCGACTGTGCGAGTAGAGAGGGGATCTACGCCATGGTAAGGGATGGGAGGGAGGGGTAGGATGTCAGATATGACGCGAGCGCACCTAGCTTGTTCCTCCCCCCCTCCCCCTCCCCCCGCCCCCTGCCATCCCCCTCCCTCTCCCCCGCCCCCGCCCCCCCCCTCCCCCCCCTCCCCCTCCTCCACCTCTCCCACCGCTCCTCCTCCTCCGCCTCCGCCTCCCTCCGCCTACCGCCTCCTCCTCTCCCTCCTCCTCCTCCTCACCTCCTCTCCTGCTCCTCCTCCTCTCCTCCCCATCCTCCCCATCCTCACCATCCCCCCCCTCCATTCCCCATCCTCCCCAGCCTCTGCCCCCGCCCCCCCCCCCTCCTCCTCCTCCTCCTCCTCCTCCTCCTCCTCATCCTCCTCCTCCTCCTCCTAGTTGGCATTTGGCTCACGCGCCGCCGCCGCTGGGTCGCCCCGCCGACCCGCCGCCTCGCCGATGCCGCCGACGACCGACGCCCGCTCCGCGAAGGCGACGCTGGACGCTGCGCGCGGCGCAGTGCTGGCGACGCACGCGGCGGCTGGGCTTGCGAGCGGCCAGCGGGAGGCGGTACGCCTCATCCGCGCCGCCGAAGGCCTGCTGCGCACGGCGGTGGCTGTGCTCGCCACGCCCTCCTCCCCCGCGCTCGTCGCGGCGCCCCTGGCGGACCCAGCGGCTTCCTCGCGCAGGAGGCGGCGGCCCCGCGGCCGCGGCGGCTCGAAGGGCGGGGACGAGAACGGCAAGCACTACATCGTCGCTGACGGCATGGACATCGACGAGGGGTCGGCGGGCGAGGTGGCCACGGGGGCTGGCGCCCCGCCTCAGCCGATGCTGGAGGACGACGCTTGGGCCGACGAGCTGCCCGTGGTGATGCAGGTTCGTGGCCCGCCTGCCAGCGCAGACCAGCGCGAGGGCAAGGGCAAGAACGCGGGCAAGGGCGGCGAGAGCGGCGGCAAGGGCAAGCTTGGCCACCTCGAGGTGTGGCAGCTGAGGAACCTCGTCGTCCGCCTGCGGGAGCGCGCTGGGCTGCCTCCCGCTCCCGAGACGGCCCCCTTCGACCACGGCGTGCTGGTCGCAATGGCCGTCGAGCTCGAGGAGTTGGCGGCCTCGTCCGACGGCACGCGTGGCGGGGGCTCCGGAGCGGCTGGTGGCCGTCGAGCGCGTGGTGGTCCACGTGGCGATGGTCCAAGGCCCGGGGCGGCCGGCCGCGGGAGGAGCAGCGGGGGGGGGTGGTAGGCGGCCTCGCCGCTTCGCGCGCAGGGCCCTCGCCCCTTCCCCCTCCCGCGGACATGGACGGCATTGTCAAGTCCGTCCACGTGTGAGCTCGACTGCATCGAGTTCGCGGTCGGGGGGTCTGGCTCCTCAGGTGGAGACCAGGCCCCCCGCGGCGGGAGGCGGGGAACACGCGCCCTCCTGAGGCTCGGTGAGGCTCGGTCCACATCCTCCCCTCCTCCTCATCATCCTCCTCCTCCTCCTCCTCCCTCCTCCTCCTCCGCTCCTCCTTCTCCTCCTTCTCCTACTCCTCCTCCTCCTCCTGCCCCTCCTCCTCTCCTCCTCCTTCTCTCTCCTCATACTCACTCATCTCATCCTTCCCACCTCCTCCTCCTCTCCTCCTCCTCCTCCCCTCCCCCTCCCCCTCCCCCTCTCATGGCCCCCTGCCCTTCCGTCTCCCCGTCCCCCGTCCCCCTCCTCTCATCTCATCATCTCCTTCTCCTCCTCCTCATCATCTTCTCCTCCTTCTCCTCCTCCGTCTCCTCCTCATCCTCCCGCCTCCTCTTCCTCCTCCCCCCCCCCCTCCCCGCCCCCGCCTCCGCCTGCGTCCCGCCACCGCCTCCGCCTCCGCTTCCGTTCCGCCTCATCTTCCTCCTCCTCTCCTCCTCCGCCGCTCCTCCCCGTCTCCCCACTCCTCCATCCTCCTCCTCCTCCTCCTCCTCATCCTCATCCCTCCTCCCCCTCCTCCTCCTCTTCCTCCTCCTCGCCTCCTCCCGTCTCCGCCCAAATCTTCCTCCTCCCCTACCCTCCTCCTCCTCCCTCCTCCTCTCCTCATCCTCATCCTCATCCTCATCCTCATCCTCCTCCTCCTCCGCCTATTCTTCCTCCTCTTCATCCTCATCCTCCTCATCTTCGTCCTCCTACTCCTCATCCTCCTCCTCCTCCTCATCATCCTCTTCATCTGCCTCCTCCTCCGCCTCCGCCTCTTCCGCCTCCCCCTCCTCCTCCTCCTCGCCCTCCGCCTCATCATCGTCATCCTCCTCCGCCTCAGCTTCCGCCTCCGCCTCCTCCTCATCCTCCTCATCCTGGTCCTCCTTATCCTCTTCATCCTCCTCCTCGTCATCCTCCGCCGCATCCTCATCCGCCGTCTCATCATCCGCCTCCTCATCCTCCTCCTCCGCGTCCTCCTCCGCCTCCGCCTCATCATCCTCGTATGCGTCCTCATCATCCTCATCCTCATCCCCCTCCTCCGCATCATCAGCATCATCACCACCATCATCATCATCATCATCATCATCAGCATCATCATCATCAACGTCAGCATCAGCATCATCATCAGCATCATCATCATCAGCATCATCATCATCATCATCATCATCGGCATCATCGTCATCAGCATCAGCATCAGCATCATCATCAGCAGCAGCATAGCCATCATCAGCATCAGCATCATCATCATCAGCAGCCGCATCAGCAGCAGCAGCATCATCAGCAGCATCAGCAGCATCAGCAGCATCATCAGCAGCAGCATCATCATCCCCCTCCCCCATCACGCTTCCCCTCCCCCCCCCTTATTCCTCCATCCGCCTCCTCCTTATCCTCCTCGCCCTCCTCCGCATCCTCCGCATCCTCCGCCTCCGCCTCGTCGCCCTCCTCCTCCTCCTCCTCGCTCTCCTCCGCCTCATCCGCATCGTCGTCATCTGCAGCATCCGCCTCAGCATCATCATCATCAGCATCAGCAGCAGCATCATCATCAGCAGCATCAGCATCAGCATCGTCATCAGCAGCATCATAATATTCCTCGTCCTCATCCTGCACTTCCACTTCCTCCTGCTAATCCTCCTCCTCCTCCTCCTCCTCCTCCTCCTCCTCCTCCGCCTCATCATCCTCATCCTCCTCATCCTCCTCCTCCTCCTCCTCCGCCTCCTCCTCCTCAGCATCATCCTCCTCCGCCTCCGCGGTCGCAGTCACGCCTCCCCCCCCCCCCCCCCCCCCCCCCCGCAAATCCCCATCATGTTCCTCATCCTCCTCCTCCTCCTCATCCTCATCCTCCTCTCCTCCGCCTCTTCTCCTCCTCAAGCATCATCATCATCAGCAATCATCATCATTCAGCACAGCATCATCATCATCTCAGCATCATCATCAGCATCATCATCAATCAGCATCATCATCAGTCAGTCAGCAGCATCGCATCCTCTTCTCATACGCGTCCTCGTCCTCCTCCACTCCCTCCTCTTCCTCCCCCTCATCCTCCTCCTCATCCTCCTCCCCATCCTCCGCCTCCTCATCCTCCTCCTACTTCGCCTCATCCTTCTCCTCCCTCCCCGTCTCTTCCTCGCCTCCTCGTCATCTTATTCCTCCTGCTACTCGTCCTCCTCCTCCTCATCTTCCTCCTCCTCCGCCTCCTCCTCCTCATCCGCCTCATCCTCCTCCGCCTCCCCATCATACCTCTCCCCCCCTCCTTCCCATCATACATCCTCCTCCTCAAGCTCCTCCTCCTACTCCTCCTCCGCCTCCCTCTCCTCCTCATCCTCATCCTCATCCTCCTCCTCCTCATCATCATCATCAGCATCAGCATCATCATCAGCATCATCATCATCAGCATCATCATCCGCATCAGCATCAGCATCATCATCAGCATCATCCTCATCATCATCATCATCGTCATCATCATCCTCATCATCAGCACCATCATCATCATCATCAGCATCGTCATCAGCATCAGCATCGCCATCCTCCGCCTCCTCCTCCGCCTCCTCCTCCGTCTGCGTCTCCTCCTCCTCGGTCTCCTCCTCCTCCTCGGCTTCCTTATCCTCTTCCTCATCGTCCTCCTCATGCTTCTCCTCATCATCCTCCTCCTCCTCCTCCTCCTCCCCCTCCTCATCCTGGGTCTCCTCCTCCCCCTCCTCATCCTCCTCATC